CGTGCAGTTCAATTCAGGCAACGGCCTTTGAAGTGATGTAGCGTAGCTGTTGACACGCATTTGTTTACTCGTGACTCAAATCGAAACTCACTCAGCACTTGCACCTCAGGGACTTTGTTTTTGTGTTTTCCTGTTCCATGCAGTTGTGGGCAACAGCTTCAATCACAAAGACTTATTTCTGCTGGCTCGATCACACGGGATCCCTGCGGGTGAAAACCTTTGGTGCACAATCAGGTAAATTTAGACATTTAGACTCCGCTGTTGCTTTGGGCATTTGGACGACAGCAGTTCATACACCGTCGCTTACGCATCTTCGTCTTAGAGCTCTTCAGCTCAGAGCAATCGGGGTTTCACATGGAAAAAGTCTCCTGTTGGACTGAACCACACATGTGACCATGCGGTCATACCGTGACCGGCTCTAGATTCAGGCACCTTTCTGTAGGCAAGGTGGTGTGAGAAAATGGACTAGCCTCTCTCAATGGTGTTGTCTCCGGTTTTTATTCCTCTTCATTTCCGGTCTCATCTTTGGTTTTCTTGTCTTTCTGGTGGAGGTGGTGCAACACCAAGTCAATACTGTAGGCCTTCCAAGGTGCGAAGGATCACGAACAGCAAGTACAAACATTGTGGCCATCAATGCGGTTCCATCTCGACTTTGCCATGAAACCCACTGCCATTGTAGAGACAACCCTTTCTGCTTCACTTTTGTTTTGATCTCGTCATCATTCTTCAGCAGGTCTTCTTCCTTCAGCTCATGTAGTGTCGGGAGTCGGGAGCCGCCGGAGGAGAATGTGGTGATCCGCTTTGATCGCCTGTGTTCTGGAACTCCACATAACCAGAACTCAAAAGCTTCATCATGACCATCGACAGCATCGGCTTCATCAATCCATTTGCCAACATCCATGCCGTTGGCACAAGGATCAGGAATCTGATCCGTCCTGTCACTCTAGCCTCCTTTATCGCAAGCACATAGAAGCTTTAAAGTCGATCTTGTGGAATGCCCTTTGATCCAGTAGCAAGCTCGAAAAGTTCTCGACAATTTGTTGCCGAATCCACTGGAATCAATGCAGAGCCACCCTCCTGGTACTCAGTCAAAGTCTTCAAGGAAGGTGATGACTCATGACTCATGCAGTCAAAGTTCAGTCAAACGAGTTGACACCACCGATGTCGCTTCAAGGCCGTTCACTGCGGACAATGTTTTTGCACGACTAGTGCTATAGGATACTCTCATGTTTTTACCACTATGGGCAAACAAAACATGACCAAAGTTGCAACGCTTTCAGAGCTGCAGTCGATCTCATGTTGTCGAAGGAGGGCCTCAGGAAGTTTTGGCATCAGCAACATTCAGCAACACCAAAATGCCTTCTCGAGCATAGCTTTTGCCCTTGGTAGCAGAAGTGGCATCATGGAAGCACTGAATGCGCAGTCTGGTGTCAGGTGCAAAAAGTCGGTAATGTAATGTAAGCCGTAGGCCCAACTGCTGTTTGTCCTGTGTACAAAACTTCTTGACTACCTTGTTGGCAAGTGTCAAATGCTTCACTTGAGCATTCGGCACTGAGGACTGTAGAACTCCAGTGTCGGCCACCAGGTCCAATCACGTGGAGCACAACCACATTAAACCATCAATGACTGAAGAAAGTGGCGTGATCTCCTCTGGGGTCAATCTCCGTTCAGCATTACCTTGTGGTTCTGGTGCTGGTTTCATGCGAGCAGCGAAGTCACTCTGATCCGTTTTCAATCCCGTAGCAGTCTGAGCATAGCGACAGGCACAATGAGAAAAGTTTCTCTTTGGTGATCTTGCCAAATTCATTGCATATCTCTTGGTACAAATGGTTGGTGAACACACATATATATATATATAAAGTGTAAATTACCAGCCACTGCCAGGTCATTAAAATGTGTTGCGAGCACAGCTTGGAGAGAGAGAAGTTTCTTCTTGACATGATTCCAGCAAAAACAGCTGTCATCCGGATGGGATGAATTCCTCTCTTCTGTTGTTCTTGAGAGGAATTCGCCCTAGCTGCCAAGCCACAGGCGCATCATTGAGACCATACACTGGCTTCAAACACCATAGGCCATACAACAAAATCTTCCAGGGTTTAATAGAGAATTCTGCATTTGCCTTGGCCCAGCAATTCGAGGTGGAGTCACGGCAACTGACCTGATTTGATTGGTGTCTTGATGCCGCTGCAAAAAAATAACTCGCGAATCCATTCAAGAATGCCCCTGAGACATCCCAACTTCCTGGAGGTATGTTCATGATCGCAGCTGTGGAAAGTCCTTTGAGCCTCGTATCACCCTCTTGCACACATGCGACTCTTGACAATCTTCTTACCAAACTTCCACTTCCAGCAACGAATCCAGATGCCATCCACGACCGCGACGGTTGAATCGTTTAGCGGCTTAGCGCTTCTGAAAGAAAAACTTTGGTGAATGTCTTCTGCTCCAGACCTGTGCTACCAGCGGCCAGATTGCAGGAAGATCATCCTCCGTGATTGCTATCTTTTGGCCATCCACAAGTGATGAGGAGGACGACGCAGCTCCAACCCACCTGCCCAAGGCACGCATCATCGCCGAGCTGCTCCCGTACGCCCTCCGACAGCGACTGCTCTTCAGCACCGAATCCGCCTCCAGCCAAGCGCACTTGCGCTCGCCACCACAAAGCCGCCGACCAAACCCAAAGGCGCCCGCGCCCAACTGGAGGCCGAACTCCATGCCAACTGGGGTTCCTGGGAACCTTGGCAGGAAGAACAACTTGTGGACCTCAAGACTAACGCCAAGCCCCGTCCCAACTGGCAATTCATCGCCAAGAAACTCCACTGCACCCCAGCCCAGTGCAAACGAGATCCTTGAACTCCAGCAATTCATGGACAACACTGCATCCAACCGCCTCCAATGAACCCAGCCCAGCCGAGTCAGCCCATATGAGCGGAATCACTGGCGCCCCTGAGACATGTAGCTTCCCACTGTGTGCCAAGTTCAAGTCGACATGAAGGGGACGATGTCGCGGTGGGTGAACTAAGAAGTTGGCATGTTTGCTGGGTGATGTCCATGAAGGTCATGTAGTTGAACCAGCTCGGAACTTCCCATTGTGGCAGCCCAAAAGTCCCTGATGTTGTACTCGATGAAGATTTTGACGATCGAGCATCCAGTGCAGTGAACGCAGAGTCTCATGGCAGTTCTTTTAAGTACCAAGGGACTCTTGCTGGTGGACGTGAACCGCAGCTTGGCTCTCGAGTTGACTTCAGAGGATTGCGCATGGCGTCAGAGGATTGGCCAAGGTGGTGAGTGGCACAAGGTGAAGCCGGTGTTGTTGACTTCGGAAGACAATGCCACCAGTTTCAATGTCTCAGACGTCCGCAAACTTTCCGGCGATGATCTCCTCGGTGCCACGATCATATTGAACATGAACTCAAAACATGGCCTTCAGCCAGTGGCGCGGCTTGTGTCACAGTGCAAACCAGGCGTTCACATGGACTTCAAGCTCAATGGCACTCATCCAAGTTTCCCAGCCTGGTGGTGTCAATGTTCAAGTGCTTCGTTGAAAAAGAACAAACACAAAGTTGTACGCAACAACACCTGCCTGTTTGACCATCCACTGTCACCAGCCACCAAGTCCACTGTCCATTGATCCCCCTTCGCCTCCACTGCCCATCCGTGCCAGCAGCTCTAGCCTCATCCACACCCGGTGGCATTGCGCAAAGGAGGTTGCTTGGCTTGGAGCTAGCTTGAAGCCAACAAATGTTGATGGCATCCAACCACAAATACATGGTGGAAGCCTAGAATGGCAAACAAAAATCAACGCCTATTGGCTAAGCTTGACGGTTGGTTGTAAGCTGCGTCAAGCACAGAAACTTGCCTATATTGGCTGCTTTAAGTTTTTTCCCAAGCCACTGGTCGACACACATGTCTAGCCATCTTGGTTGTGAACAGTGGAACTGCTTCTTGTAATATGGCCTCTTTGAAGCTGATGTGAAGCAGCCTTCAGCATCTCTTGCCAGCAAATCCAGCGCAGGCTTCAGGTCACCTGCTTGCAAGTGCACAAAGCCAGCATTTGCACCCTGGTGCTGCTTTTCTCAGATGGGACTTCCACCATCGCCAGGGTGGGCTTCTCCAGCTTGGCAGGTCCAACCCCATTTTTTCTTTTTCTGGCTCTCATGCGAAGAAATCAGATTCCACTTTGGCTTGTGCTTCCTGGCCAGAAGCAAGGACAGCTTGTACAACCTTCTCTCTCAGTGCCACCAGCTGTGGTGATTGTGCCAAGGATGGATTTTTGCAACCCTTGAGCAAGTCTGTCCTGTTGCCACAAACCAGCCTGCAGATGTTGGGGTGGCTGCCTTGCATATTCAGGAATTTTTGACCACCATGGACGGCTAGAAGCTGTGGTGGGATTGGGACTGAAGGGCTTCCATTAAAAGAAACAGCAATCCTCTCCTGGATGTCCACCATGGGTGCACTGCCAAAAGGCACACACCAGTATTGGCTTTGCGCAAAAGTGCAGCTTACAAGAGCTGAAGCTTATATCAGCCTGCTCTTGGAAGCATACAAGAGCTGAAGCTTATATTGGCCTGTTCTTGGAAGCAGCCCCCTAGACATAACCTTTCATTGAGCTCGCAGGAGGTGCGCATTTTGATTTTCCATTTTGCAGCCACTTGCAGCTACTTGCAAGTGGCTGCCAAGTGGCTGCAAGTGACTGCTACGTCTGTCCGGAGAATATCATGATATCTCCGCATGCAGTTCTGAAGAAAACCAATATTTCTGCAATGCTGTTCTGCGAAGAAATAATCATAATCCAAGACTTTTCCGAGAATAGATTCTAATCTTCTGCAGAGCTAGCGACGAAGAAATCTTACAGTTTTTACATAAAGAACTCAAAGTACAGTGTTGCAACTTAATTGCTTGAGTGACAAGTGGCTGCAAGTGGCTGCCTGAGCAAGTGGCTGCAAGTGGCTGCAAATGACTGCAAAACCAAAAATCAAAATGTACGTCATTTGCTCGCTCTCTGTAACCTTTTCTTTCCAGCCTGCCACAGGGCGCAATCCATTGCATTTGGAAAACAGCCAAAGCGCTCAGAAGAGGCAATGGACCTTCAAAGAAAGCATGCCAGCGCAGCGTGCTCATGCCCTCTTGGCTTTCTTCTTTGCTGGCCATCCTTTGCAGGGGCTTGTAGAAGCACAGCTGGGGCCCTTCTTCAATGACAGCCTTTGGCTTGAACACGGATTCTCAGCCAGCCATTGAACTTGTACTCTGACTGCTCAGCAGTGCTATCTTCTTCCTTGTTTGCTTCCTTGTCTGTGGGCTGGACCCAGGAGAAGGTTGGCAAAGATTCCATTTTGTCAAAGTCACCCAGGGGGTTGCGTGTTTTCAGTTCCCAGATTGGTGTTTTCCCTTCCCGTGGTGTTTCCCTTTCCCAGATTTGTTTTTTCGGTTCCCGTGGTGTTTCTGGTTCCCAGGTCTTGGTGTTTTCAGTTCCTGGATTGGTGTTTTCCTTGCCCAGCTCCTGTGTTGGTGTTTTTGGTTCCCAGGTTTGGGTGTTTTCAGTCCTGGACAATGTGTTCCCTGCCAGGCTCCTGTGTTGGTGTGCCCTTTCACGTGTTTGTTTGTCAGCTTTCGTTTGAATTTCTGGCTACCATTGCCCACCGCTGGATTTGAAAGCACGTACTCGTGTCACACAATTAAACAGACAAAGAACACCGCAAAACCGTCAAAGCCGTTCGCTGTAAAAACATGTCAGTTTGCGTAAACCCACTGCCGCAAAAACACAAGGTACCCGGTGGTTCCTGCTCAGGCGTGATGCACAGGGGCTGGGTCGTAGCTTCTGGCGCTTTCGGACCAAATGTCGTTAGTGTGAACTGAAAGATGCTCTCCAGAAAGGGCAAAAAAACTTGCCGCCAGAAGGCGTTCCAAGATGGTTCGGGCGCGTGCAAGGCACGGCCGAAACTGAACAAGCATCGCTGAACCAAACCAATGGGTTTGGTGAAAGCTGCCAAACACCAGTACTGTAAGAAATAGAGCTCCTGCTGCAACCAAGACACCTCCATGTTTGTGGACACCGTCATCGGAGGTGGCTCCTGTACCGGATCCAAACGGTGGGTTGGCCCACGCCGTGCGGCGCGCTTGCGGTCAAGCATGGTGGTGTGGCTGAACTCATCTCCATGCGCTGCGTCCAGGAACATTGTGAGATCCACGCGCTCCCCTTTCTTTGTGCCACCAGCTGACGTGCCACTGAAACTTAAATCCAAGCACTGACCAGCTTCGTCACTGTGCAGCAACAGATAGCCGTCGGTGTGACTTAGCTTGTCAATGGGCGGCGGTGGTGGTGGTGGTGGTGGTGTCGCGGATTTTCGCATGTTGTTTGTTGATCGTTGTTGGTCGTCGTTGTTAATCGTCGTCGTCGTCGTCGTCGTCGTCGTCGTCGTCGTCGTCGTCGTCGTCGTCGTCGT